TGATCACCTAACTGGAATGTTGGAAATTTACCTAGTGAAGTGACTGACCTCAGGTGATACACAGAGATGAAACAAATCCTCCTACAAAAGTTGTACCTGTTTGTCTTCTCTTATCCAGAGTTGCTCAAAAGGAAGCATTTATACAGCTTGTTTGAGATTTCAGAAAGCAGGGGGCGGAGAGCTGAAATTACACACTGCAGAGCTCAGTGAGGAGAGCTCTGAGAGCTGATTGGAGGGAAGGGACACCTCCCCTTTCAAACAGCACACAGGAACAGAGCTGAGGCTGTCAGTCTGCTGGAGGTCCCTCCCCTGTCACCACTTTTCTCTTGGTGTCAGGAAAACTTATCAGAAGTGACTATTACTTACAGCAGAGCAAGGAGGCAGCAGACAGAAATGACATTTAGTGCTCTGGACTGAAACAAGTACACGCTATAGAGGGACATTTTGTTCATATTTCATGTCTGAGGTTTACAACCACTTGAAATCAGCAGCTGCAGCCAATTGGCTGCAGCACTGATTAGTGTATTCTGACAGCAGGGGAGTCCCACTGTCAAAATACAATAGCACAATAGACAGGGCTCCTCCATCCACCTCTATCTAGCAAAAAAAATGGTGTAGACTTTAATTTTCACTGTACTCTAAATGTTCCATTCCTGGACTGTATGTGTTTTGATATATTCTTGGAACAGGATACCTGTATGTTGTTTTTTTGGATTATCTGTAATATCTCAAAAGTGTTAATAAATCATGATTGTACTTAAAAAATGAAATACAACTTATTTGGGTACAGTTTTGCATGACTGAGCAATTGTATGGCAAAGTATCACAGCACTGAAAACTGAAAAATGGCTTGGTAATGAAAGGGTTCTACAGGCTGGTACTCAAGTGGTTAAGTAGTGCAATTACTATAGAGGTCTATATATATTTTCAAAAAGAGGAAAACTAAGGAAGAAAGACAAACAAAGGGATTTGGTTCCAAAAGAGAGACAGATCCTCCAAATGAGGAACTGTTGGAAGGTATGCAACACAACATTTTCTGTGGCCTCCTCACAAAGGCAACATAAGGCCTTCATTAGGCCCTGGAATGAAAAGAACATGAGCAAAAAAATGTCTGAAGATTCTGGAGTAATGTGCCTATGTATAGGCAATGAAAACATCAGACAGACCTGTAAGGGAATTACTACCAGATGTGGAGATACTGTAGCTCTCACCCCTTGCTCCAACCCCCTACCCCTTCTACACTTTATACACCATCCCTCACACTTCCCCCCCACCAAAAAACAGTCTGGGGCCTGCTTGTGTGCCTTCCAGGGTCTCTGACAGGCCTGAAAACAATATGCCTTGCAGGAATTTCATCTTACTGCTGGGAACGAACAATTTCCAGATGAAACAAAGTCATTGTATCTACATATTGAAGGTATCGGGGTGATGGGGCCAGCCAGGAAATGAGAGTTGAATGCCACAACTCACATAACTGTTGTGTCACAAAGTGCCAAACCATCATTAAAATGCCCTGAGTTTTTTTTCCATTGCACACTAAGCCGCGCTATTATTGCCTGGGATGTCTGGAAGTCATTAACAAAAAAAAAGTAGTGAAGAGCTATCAGAACATGGGTAAACAAAGGAAACGTTTGACTTGGTTGCTTGTCTGAATGCTCAGTACTGCTGGGACCTTGGAAGAAGGGGGTAGACCCTAAAAGGCTGTCTTAAAAATTTACTGGTCAGTGCAAATAAAAAAATTACAGGGACAGTACTCGGCTATGTTGTTTCAATTCAAAACACAAAGTTCCTCACTTGAAATGTTTGGAAACAAGATTTGTGTCTTGGCCAAGGTAACCAGATACTCCCAATTATTTTTCTAACCAACTCAAAAGACAAAAGCTCTTAGAACGCTATGAGCTGCCTAAAGAAACACTAAACTCTAGTCTTGAAAAAAAAAAACATATTCAAGCACTGTATGTATTCTTAAAGTGGAATTCCAGTATAACACTAACAACTCTTATGCACCTTTTTAACCAATGAAACCACCAAGCAACTCATTCCCTCCTTGATTATCTCCTGCCTTGACTATTGCAACTCCTTCCTCGTTGGCCTACCTTTACATAGGCTATCCCTCCTTCAGGTCTATCATGAATGCTTCTGCTATCTACCTTACCAATTGTTCAATGCCGACCACACCTCTCTGACAATCCCTCCACTGACTTCCTTTTTCCCAATGAATAAAATTCAAAATACCAACAAGAACATACAGCACCATCCATAACTTTGTCCCCAGCTGCATCACCAATCTTGTCTCAATATATCACTGAAACTGTCCTCTCCGTGCCTCCCAAAGCCTCCTGCTCTCTAGCTATCTTGTCTTCTCCTCCCATGCTTGTCTCCAGGACTTCTCCAGAGCCTCTCCCATCCTCTGGAACTCCCTTACCCAATCTGTCCAGCTATCTCCTGCTCTGGCCACCTTTAGACCCCTTTCACACAAATTGGACTTTTTCCCGGTCAGCAGGGGATCCATTCACAGATCCCATGCTGTTCAGAGCAGAGCAGACTGATGACAGGTCCGAGTCTCCTCAGTTTATGCAGAGTGGACATGGACGCAGCCTGCTCTGCTCTATGGGCATCTGGGTGTGAACCAAATCTGCTATCTGTTTACACCCAAATGCCCTTTGTTCCGATCTACTTAGACGGAACTGGATGAATCTCATTACGCTTTTTTTAGTGCACTGATTCGAACTGGAGGTAGGCGGGTGGAGGAAGGCAACTGAATTGGATTGGAGGTAGGCAGGTGGTGGTACTCAACTGAATTGGATTGGAGGTAGGTGGGTGGAGGTAGGCAACTGGATTGGATTGGAGGTAGACGGATGAAGGTAGGCAACTGGATTGGTTTGGAGGTAGATGGGTGAAGGTAGGCAACTGAACTGGAGGTAGACGGATGAAGGTAGGCAACTGGATTGGTTTGGAGGCAGGCAACTGGATTGGATTGTAGGTAGATGGGTGAAGGTAGGCAACTAGATTGGTTTGGAGGTAGGTGGGTGTAAAAGTCAATTTACACCTACTGGTTCATAGGGATTCATGGATCATCCGATTAGGTCCACATGAAAAACTGATGGGCGGACCCTTCATGTGAAAGGGACCTTAGGCAATCCCTGAAAACTCATCTCTTCAGGGAAGGATTTACCACCTCCACCTGGAATGTAATTCTTCCATCAGCTCATCCCCCACAGTTATTATATTTTGTACCACTTGCCCCTCCCTATGAGACTGTAAGCTCTCAGGAGCAGGGCTCTCCTAACCCTCTTGTATTGAATTGTACGGCCCCCTTTATAATGTAAAGTGTTGCTTCCTCCTCTCCCCTGCAGCTGCTGCTCACTGACACAGGAAAGCTGGAGCTGCGGGATCATGTGACCGGACTGGACCTGACCGAAGTAGATTAAAAGTAGGTAAGTACACACATCATTTTCATACATGTTGGCAGGATAGGTAGCAGCAGGAGAGGGGGGGACCATTTTTAAGCATAGTTAGCGTTAGGCTTTAATTCCTTTTTAACTTCAAAAAGTTCCTTGCTCTCAGCATCCTGTAAATCTGCAAATTCCTTTTCCTTTTTTTTTCTGCTGTGATCTTCCTGTAGGAGGTGATCTGACTGTATGTAGGAACATAGCCACCCTCTCTTGCTCACTCCCAAGGTGGACTATGGACTATGGGATGTGTAGTATGTATGCAGCAGTGTACATGACTGCAACTAACCTGCTTTGCTTATTCCAAACAAACGGAAATTAGTGGGAAAAGGAGAGGTTTTGGAGCTCAAGGAGGCAGAAAAACACAGTGAGAAATGATTTCATGAAAACAGATTACAGGGATATTAGGTCGTGGATGCGAATGGACTATGTTTGGAAAATAAGGATATCATTTAGTGTTTCCAGGGCTTTTTTCTCAGAGAATAGGTGTAGGAACTCTCCCTATCTTAGTCACCCCCTTGTCTTTGACCCAACCCACCTCTGAGCACCACCCCTTGGTTCCAGCCCCTATCCACCTCCTAGTACTACCCCTTTTAGAGAATTCAGAACCAAGTAACATTTTGTAGTGCTAAGTAACGAGTATGGAATTTGTTATTGATATCAAGAAAAGCAGTAAAAAATAGATACCTTGCAGCCAGCAACAATAGGCCCCCACCAGCATCAATACCCTCACCAGCAACAATAGATCCCCTACAGAATAATAGACCCCCAACCAAAAATTCTCCCCCCTGCAACAAAATGCCACTCCAGCAACAACTGACCCTCTCTCAATCGACTTCAGTATAACCAGTTTGTTAGATTTTTGTATGCGATTACTGCCGGCGGCTAAAGCCACTAGCAGCGATCATTGTGTTGTGCCGGCAGGGAAGACTACCACAATGGTGCTGCAGGAGGGATTCCCCCATCAACACTGATTGCATTGATGGGGGAATTGCACGATCTTCTTTCCTGCAACCTTTTTTCTTTTGAAATAAAGATTTTACATAAATTAATAAAAGCTGATAATTTTAAGCACCCCTGTCAGGGGGTAAATGATTTGTTTCAACCCTCTAACTGCTACTTTGTCCAGACAGCTTGGTCTGAAAAAGGATGTTGAAAGAATAACAGACTTACTGGTAGGATCACCAGGTGGAAATAAAGATAAAAAAGCCTAAAAAGGAAAACAAATGCAGCCATCACATCTAAGAATTGGTAAGTTGCAATTGAATGCATTTTTTGGGGGGAGGGTTAATATATTTAACTGGGCTAGGTGAACATTTTGCTTCTATAGTAAATAAAATGGAGCAATGCAAGTGATGTGCAAAAGGAAGTGGTTCTTGCCCTTTGCATATATCCTAATCCACCTGCACTGCATTTATCCTCTGTTCATATTTATGCGGGTGGTGCCGCTGCGGGACCCACACAAATGCCTGCAGCTGCAACACCCACACAGAGGAATGCGGAACCCGCGGGTAGGTGCCATTAATTCTAATGGCACGCCGCCCGCACTGGAAATCGCAACCGTACTGGGAACCGAGGTTCCCATGCGGGCTGCAATTTCCAAAGTAGTGCAGGGACTTTTTCCCTACGTGTCCCAGGGCGAGGGAGTCCATTCAAATGAATGGGCTCTCGTGCCCGAGCCCGCACGACCGCCGCAGCAGATGTGAACCAGGGCTAAAGCTGAACTGGAACTGGATAAGTAAATATTGTCTAAATAAAAGAGGTGTTGGTATATTTACTAGAATCCTGGAGTCCTTTGTTAGCATTTTACCACCTCTGTGCAGGAGCTTCCTGTAATTAGAACTGATCACTGCTGCCCTCTCTTCTTATGCAGGATGGCTGGTCTTGTCTCCGCCCCCCCACCTATCTTTTTCTGCAGGTGGGTGGGGCCTGTTGGGCCCCTCCCAGAGCTCCTCTCTCTGCACAGCACACCGATGATGTCAGCAGCACGTTTGCAAGACTATACAGGAGTTTGTGAATATATTTGGTGCACACAAAGTGGATTTATAGCCTATGTGGCTATTGCTAAATGTATTAAAATGAGTGTTATTTGTGCCTAGAGTTTCCCTTTAAACCTGGCAGTTTGCTTTTTTTTTTTAGGTAGGTTCGTACATGAGGTCCAAAGAACCTGTCTTTGAATGTAATGTTTACAAGCAATGGTGTGCCATAACCCATTGCAGCTGGTAGGAATAATGAGCAAACTTGCACCAATAGCATAACAGGAACAGTAGGATTGGCTGCTATGGACAGTTCTGCTTTTATTCATTTTCAGACATTAACTATATGCTCATGTTTGGTCATCATGTTCTGTGATATATGGGACTTTTTGGAACAAAGTGGGGTTGATTTACTGAAACTGGAGAGTGCAGTTCTGCATAGTAAGCAATCAGCTTCTAACTTCAGCTTGTTCAGTTAAACTTTTGCAACAAAATCTGGAAGCTGATCGGTTTCTACGCTGAGCTATATCAGATTTTGCACTCTCCAGTGTTAGTAAATCAACCCCATTGCGGTATATTACATACAGTATATGCACAAGTCACGAATGCCCCCACCCTACTATGCCACGCTCAATGGAGGAGAAAATACTCCATCTTATAAATAGTTATTGTAAAAGTTATTATTACCTATACAGAAAGGTGATTATTTACTAAAACTGGAAAATCTGGTGTAGGTGTGCATAGAAACCAATCAGTTTCTAGGTTTTATTGCTAAAGTTTAAAGTGGAATTCCAACGAAAACCTAACTAACCCTGAACCTACTCCCAGCTCCATTCTAAACCTACTCTCTGTAACTCTGTAAAGAAAAGATTGTTATACTTCTCCTATTCTGAATCCGCTCCGGTCTGGTTCCATGTTGAGCTGTCAGTGGTGGCTTCTATGTAGAGCAGAGGAGGCCGACAATGGATGCCCCACAGTAAGTCTATGGGTGACGTCATCTCGTAGGCATTTACCAGTCATTGTTGGATTCCGCTCTTTACACAGAAGCTGCCTCTGGAGACCGGACCGGAGTGGCTTCAGAATAGGTAAGTATAGCGATCTTTTCTTCACAGGGTTAGCTACATTAGGTTTAGAATGGGACTGGGAGTAGGTTTAGAGTTAGGTTTTGGGTGGAATCTGACTTTAATAAGCTGAAGTCAGCGGCTGATTGGCTACCATGCACAGCTGCACCAGATTCTGAGTGCTCCAGTTTTAGTAAATCTTTCCCAAAAGGTCCTGTATTATGAGCATGCTGCATGTATAGGCCAGCTACATTTTAAGGAACCAAGACAAGGAACTATTAAGTGGAACTTGCCTTATAAGTTACCAAAACTCAACTACGTGATGTCACCAGTCCATCAACATCCATTATAGTCAATGAACTAGAAACCCCAGTACAGTACGCAGATATTAAGACAAAGAAGAACAGGAGCACACAAAGGTTTTTTACTAAAGTTGCAAAATCTGGTGTAGCTCTACAAAGAAACCAATCAGCTTCCAGGTTTCATTGCCAAAGCTTAAGTGAACAAGCTGAAGTTTAAAGCTGATTGGCTACCGTGTACAGCTGCACCAGGTTCTGAGTGCTCCAGTTCTAGTAAATCTTTCCCAAAAGGTCCTGTATCATGAGCATGCTGCATGTATAGGCCAGCTACATTTTAGGGAACCAAGACAAAGAAATATTAAGCTGCACCAGGTTCTGAGTGGTCCAGTTTTAGTAAATCGCCCCAACAGCAACTACCTTCAACCAACCAGAAATCAGCTTTTAACAGCTTTTCAGGAGCTCAATAATGAAACCTGATTTCTGATTGGTCACTACCGTTTACTGTTAACTACTTCATTCAATAAGCCTGGAGGTTTACAAATCCATCTATCTTCAGGTTTCTCAACCAGGGTTCCTCCAGAAGTTGCTAGCGGTTCCTTGAGCAATTTCTCAGATAAGATCCCACCGACGCCATTGATCTTTTTAGCCATCTGTAAGGGGGTAATTCTTCTCAATGACCATAAGTGTAAGGAGCATTCTTCCCACTGACCATCACACTAATGTATCATGAGATGTAGATACAGTCATTTCTAGCAGGGGTTCCATAAGACCAGAAAGTTATTTCAAGGGTTCCTTCATGTTAAAAGGTTAAGAAAGGCTGATCTAGCTTGATAAGTGGCATTTTCATCCATCAACAAAAGGCCTCTTGGGTGAATAGGCTCATCATAACCTCTTTCATATACCTAAACTACAAAAAAAAGCTCTCTTCTACTAAAAGAATTCTAACTTTTTTTTTGCTATTACACATAAAGGACTGCTTTATATTGCAGTATAGAAACCGATCATCAATTCACAATGTTATTGTTTCCTCAAGACTTATTAAATAACGCTGAAGCAATATTCCCTATGGCACATTGGCCTTTCACCTTAAATGCAAGTCTGGTACCAGAAAAAAACACAGGGCTGCATTGTATAGTCTACTGAGATTACTATTGGCTGTTTGAGGGCATAAACTTAATTGTTTGGCGGAGAACTCCAAACTTAGTTCTTATTGGTTAACCCCTCTAATTAGTCACAGACAGATCGGGTACAGGCTTTTCAAACAAAGACTTTACTTTCTGAAACAAACTTTGCCAAAAACAATTTAACTACTCGTAAAAAAAAAATAGCAAACTCTGATACTATTCATTATGCTTTTGTAAAAAAAAAGAGAAAGAAAAGAGAAAAAAAGGTAAAAAAAAAACTATCAAGATACCAAACTTTGATACAATTCATTATGCTTTTGTAAAAAAAGAGAAAGAAAAGAAAAAAAAAAAGGAAAAAAAAACTATCAAGATACCAAACTTTGATACAATTCATTATGCTTTTGTAAAAAAAAAAAAGTTTCTGCATTTTAACAGGAAAAAGTAAAACTATTTAAGTAATCTTAGAAGCTTCTCTGTAAGGGCATGATTTAAGGATACCATTATAATAGGGAAATACTGTAATTCTAAGATAGATACACTTTAAAAATAAAAATCAGTCCACATTAACTAGATTTTTTTGTTATTTCTTTCAAATATTTCTAAATTCTGCAGTGTAAAAATGATCAAAAACAAGACTAGAGCTAGTGATTTATATTTAATGCGCCGTCAGTATTTTAGGCCTGAAAGTTTTAAAGAAATTCAGAAACCCTTATTAAAAGTGGAGTGACGCAGGCTGAAACAGTGGGATCCTACTTAAACTACAGTCCTTTTTTTTTTTTTTTTTCCCCTGGATGGCCTTTTTTTTTTTTTTCTTTTCACTTCTTTGTGTGAGAGGAGTCTGATACACACTGCATGATAGCCTGATGTAAGGTCGTCTGCTGGCCATCTCTGGTGTTTTAAACTTTAAAGCCATCGAACAACATCATTTCAATGACATAATTGAAAAAGATATTTTTTTTATAATTTTTTTTACAATTTTTTTCAGCTGCATTTAAAGCCAGACCTTATCACGGGATATTCCTTAGTTAAGACCAGCTTCAAAACAGCACCTAGCCATTTTTCTTATCTCAGCTGCACAGCCATTAATGGTATTGAACTTGGACTAAACAAGTCATACATGTTAAACGTATCATTGTTCTTATGAAGCTCAGTGGCCTAAGACTTTTTTGCCCAAGACAACATTTTTAGAGGCTCCCAACTCTCATTGGTGACACAACATTTGCATTCGATATGGGATTTTTTTTTTTATTCCAATAGTCCTTTTTTCCTCTATGACTCTGTAACCCATAGTTGCATTTTTTTTTTAAGTCCAGTTTATGGGAACAGTATAATAAAGTGTTAGTTCTCTGTTCTGCTGAGGTCTCCAACTGTGACAGTAATAAAAGGAAGGACCTAAAATTCCCTTCTCGTAAAAATTCAGACACTTCACAATCATCCACTTGTCTGCTGTGTCCTCAGCGGAAAAAAGAATTGATTTAGACACACTTTATAATAGCAACTGAGGACTTGCCGGTTTTAATTAAATAGTAAGCTTATTTTATTGACAGAGTACAAGTGATACGGAGGAGCGATCAGTAAAGCTGCACGTCTAGAGCCTGAAATATATACATTTATTAAAGAGAATAGACGGATAAGGCAACAGCTAGGCGGGTGAAGAAGATCCGAGTCTTTCGTCGGTCTGTTATTCTTTCTCACTGAACTGTTCCGTGATTAAATAATTCACAAGAAAATCTATTCTTTGTGGGGGATGTAGTTTCGACCACAGTTCTTTTCCGTGATCATCTGAAAGGCTATTAAAGCAGATGGGGCTAGCTTCACTATGCAGTGCTGCAAGCCTTTCTTACGAACCATAACTGCTAGACTGGATATAATCTAAGCAAAGGGGTATAGACATGCACTGAATGAATATGAAAGGCCACCTACCCAAGGGGGGCTAGCGGAAAGTATTGGATGCTGTAGAAAGGAGCCGGCTTGTCCCTCTGTTACCTAGATAGACCAACAGGCAATGGATTCCTGGGCATTCTTTGCTCTTTAGTGGGTCACCACCACCACCACCACCCCCCCGTACTGCAAAGAGTTTGTTAATAAAGATACCCTAAGGATGCCTCCATCTATAGCCACAGGATGTGTTCTAAATTAAATATTTAGGGTCCTATGCATGAAATCAATGAATCTGGGGAAGGTTACATCCATTTGCATCATCTACAACCGAAGCTCTTTTTCAGACTATTTTCTTCGGAAAAGCTTAACCCTTTCCAGAGCAA